TTCCTCAGTGGCACCTCAAACTTGGGGTGAGTGTTCAAAGCATGACTTTGGAGGGCACATTTCCCATTCAAGCCACAACACCTCTGCTTGACAGATGAGAAAGTCATAGCTCATGGTCACAGAGCTCACCTAATATGCTGTTACAAGCCTTAGCAACAGCTACTCCCTACTGCCCCCTTGTGTTCAAGTTAAATGACTAGAATATGTAAATCCTGGAGCAGCGCCAGGCACCGAGTAATGCTGCTGGTGGGAACAGGAATCCTTGGGTATCCTGGCATTTCTTTCTGTGGTGATTTTCTTAGTCTCCTGTGACTGAGAAAGAAGTACCATCAATTTGATGCCTTTGAATGACACATTCATCTGCTCATAGTTTGGAGGTCTGAAGTCTTCAGTCCATTTCTTGGTGGTGATCAAGGTGTTGACATGGACAGGGACAAAATCCCTCTACAAGCTTCAGGGGGAAATCCATTCCTTGCTTCTTCCTACTTCTGATGGCTCTGACTTGTCCAGGCTTCTGGATGCATCCCTCTGATCTTGACCTCCTTAATCCCATGACTCTCTTCAGACCTCTTCCTATCTCTTACAAAAGATCCTGTGATTCCATGCAGAGCTCCCCCAACCCAGTTTGTTTAGAATAACCTCCCTATATCCAAGTCATTAATTTATTCACATCGTTTGCATGTAAGGTAACATTCATTTTCCAGGCATTAGGTAGTACATATCTGTGGGGGCATTGTTTAGCCTATCCCAATGGTATTTTGCATACACTGGATGACCTCATCTTTTTCTTTAAACTATTAGAAAATAACTTTATGGCATTGAATGGCTTAATGACAAACTATACTATCTATCTATTCTCTGAGGTCTCTTTTTCTGAACAACAGACTTTAAATAAGGCATGGGTTAGAGGAAGTAATTATTGTCAACTAGCCATAGTCAAATACTATTATTATGTTACTCAATAATGATTTCTTTGTTCCACGGATTTAAAATTCAGCCTTCATTTCTTACCTTCACGTGACACACTATAGTCAAATTGTTTCTCGAATACTTTCAATTCTACCAGCCTGTTTTGCAGGCTCTGCAGTGTGAGGCTCTTTTGGTTACTGTAACACTGAAGTGTTATGTATTTCTAACTGGCAAACATGTTTCTTCCTATCCCTTCTCTGTTTTTCTGGCAATGGCCCTTCTACTGTTTTTTTTCTCATTGGATGTTTCAACTGTGTGGGGTGCAGTTATGCACCCTGTAATCAGCACTCAGGATGCTGAGGAAGGAGGAACTGAAGCTCCAGGCTAGCCTGGGCTACAGAACTAGATACCACCTCTAAACAAACATCCATCCAACAACAACACCAAAAATCCCCAGTCCTTATTATCACTTTAACATGGTATTTGGAAGAAGAGGCATTCTGGGATTGTCTACTTGACAAAATGGTCCTTTCAGTCTTGTTTATTACTATTACTACTACTATTATTATTATTATGATTTGTTTTATGCATTTCTGTGGAGACTTTCTCACTTTTTTAAATACAGAAATTTAATTCCAGACACCTGTATTTTAAAAACAAATAGATGGTGGTTAGTAGGTAGGAATGTAGAATAGACACTGTAAGAGAATAGTAATAATAACCAATAAGAAAACAGAACAGCTTATAACCAAATACTCTATCAAAACTATGTGAATTGGAATCTCTCTCTCTCTCTCTCTCTCTCTCTCTCTCTCTCTCTCTCTCTCTCTCTTTTTATGGGTAAATGAAATTGGTAGCAGGTGATGCTGCATTTTAGGGGAATACTGCATATTTAATCATTTGATTCTCATCTTTCAAAATGTTTAATAATTAAATGTTATAACCATGCTATCAATTCTGTTCTCAATCTTATATTTTACCTGGCTTCACTCCACATCACATTTTCTTACATAACACCCTCTCCTTGTGTGAGTTCATTTGCCTGGCCTATTTTCCTCTTGCTTAGCAGAGAATCTTAAGTTATGTCCAGAAACTTTTCTTAATAAAGGGTGTGCCAGGGATGTCATGTCTCCATTTTGTTATCACATAGAGGGAAACACTGGTCTGACAACTAGTGAGGCTGCACTACATCCCCTTGAGTGGCCTATAAGCACAGGTGTGTCTCTGAGCCCCATTTTAGACAGGGGAATAGGAAGTCATTCTGATTTTAGTCCCTTTTAAGCAGCGGGTCCTCCTCCCCTATGAGTATGCCTGTAGTTGTGTCTCTTGGTTCTTGGGGTTCTGTACTGGTGAGTGTGTGTGCTTGCTCAATGACTGCTTCCAGCATGCCTTGTGATCTGCACCCCAGTCTTCAGCTCAAAGGAATGGCCCTTTGCTTCCGTGTTTCTGCTTCTCCTTGGTGCTGCTGTTCTTCAGGACTCCTGTTGGATATTCCCAACCCTTTGTCTCATACTCTTTGCTTTATGTGGTTACTGAAGTCTCTTCCCCTTTGTGTGAGTGTGTGCATTCTTGTGTGTGTGTGTGTGTGTGTGTGTGTGTGTGTGTGTGTGCGCGCGCGTGTGTGTGGACTGCTTTTAGTGGCACCCCCAAGGGAGCTGCTGCCCTGCTCCTCCTCACCTCTAGTTCCTACTTACATTAGAAACAAACCTCCTGCTTTCCACAGAAGCTGTAAAAAATTTCTGTGTCCAGCCATTCTGCCTTTAGTGAATTGGCCCTGACCCCTATGACCTGGATTTGCCTGTGTCTCTTCATACCCATTATCCTCCTCTGGTCTCTATCTTTTGAGCCCGAGCTTTCTTGGACCCTTTTCTGGGATCCTGTGCACTGACTTCTTCAAGGTCTGTGCAGGATCTGCGACAACCTTCCTGCTCCTTCCCTCATGACTCTGAGTCTTCCTTGTACTCTTTACAACCCTTACATCTTGATGACACGATCCTTTGGTTCCCAGTAGGACCACTGACATTTGGGTGGCTCTTTGGGGGAAGAGTAAAGAGCAGAACATGTAGGAGCCCCTTTATCATTCACCAAACCAGTAACCCAGGTGTGGAATTAGGGGAGGGGTCTGGTGCTTCTGCCCTGGAATGACTGGACCACATGACCTAGTCACCTTCTGCCTGCAAGGGTCCTCCTTCCAGCCTAACAACAAGAGTTTGAGAAACAACCTCTATCCAAAAAGCCAAAGAGACAGGGCTTAGCATCATCAGAGATCAGAATGAAGTACAACTGAAGTGCTGAGTTGCAATAAATCTGCTGGAGACAAGGCTCCTGTGGGTCAGTACAAGACAGGGTTGTGGGCTTCAGTGCACTAAGGCTAAGTTAATAGTCCCCCCCCCCGGGGGGGGGCAGTTGAGAGCTGTGCCCTTAAAAGAGAGAGGGGGTGGGCCCAGACCTTCTGGATTCCTGACAACTTAGCCATATTATGACTTTTTCTCAGTACTGTGGTGTTACAGGGATATTAGAGGCAGAAAATAAAAATCTTGTTTTCTCCAGACTTCCTGGTTTTGTTTAATGTGAAGAAAAAATGCTTTTGTTAGGAACACTTCTCTAGGTCTTTCAACAGGGATAGAGACATCTTTCTTCTCAACATGTGTCTCCTCTTCCTCCAATACCACTGTGGTGGACACTCCTGCCTCCTCCCAGAAGTCCCCTCCCCCAGGCCTGAGTAGCAGAGAGGCTGTGACAAGAGTGGCAGGCTCCCTGTGGTAGGTCTGTGCCTTGTCACCAAGCCTCCTAAGCTCAGGTCCTCCGGGGTGGCTGCGGGAGAGCCAGCTCCATGCTGTGTGGCTGGTGACATTTCCGGCTGCCAGTGCCCAACCAATCAGTGACAGACTCAGCTAGCTCGGGCGATGACACATGAAATATGGTAATTTTCTGTAGAGAGGAGAGAGGTGGGGGGGGGGGGGGGGTTGGCTGGGAGGGTGAGGCAGACAGGGCCAGGTAAGAGAGAACCAGGCATTGGTTTCAGAGGTCTGTCGGGCAGGACCAGGAGAGGGAATGAGAGCTGGGGCTAGAGCTGGAGGGCTCTGTCCTGGAGTGGCCCTAGGGACACTGTGATGGAGGGGACCCTGCTGATGGCAAGGAACAAGGGGAGAACCAGCAGTGCCAGGATGAAGCTCTGGGGCTCTTGGGTGGAAGACATTTGTCTTCCTTTCCAACAGGAGTAAAGCTACTTTTTGTATTTTCTCAGTGGTACCTCTTTAAAAGGTAAAACAAAACTCGAATAGATGCCATCTGCATGGCTGAAGTAGTTGCCAAGGGTGTTTCAGGTTAGAGGTGGTTTATCCCTCTGCCCTGTTGTTCAACCTTCATGATCAACTTTGTTCCAAAACTCCAAAAAAGTTCAAAACAGAACAGCAATGAAATCTTGCTAAACTTTTTTTGAAGAGCCAAATGAGAATCGTCAGACACTAGGTGGTGGTTTCGATTTCTGGTTGAAGCAGAGGGAAACTAGAGCAGGATCTGTGCCTGAGTCTCAAGGTGGGTCAAAAATGGGGCTAGAACCATCCTTGGGGCTGGGAACATCTTCCAGTTCCTTGAGACCACAGGGCAAGACAGGGCAGCATGCCCTGTGGATAGGCCCTGGGGGGACCACAGGGGTGTATCACTGTCTTCAGTCGCATGACAAGATTTCTGGCCCTTTATCAGCAATAAGGGACCCCAGAGGGGTGACCTGTGTGTTGACAAGTCTGCTGAGGGTCTGACCCCTTGAGCACAAATGTTTAGAAATGTTCATATGCAATGCTACTCAACACTGGGAAGCTCATCGTCCTGTATTTGCATGTTTCTCCCACCGTGTAAATGTATTATCCACGTGTGCAGATTTATGAAAGGGTATCATCAATCAATGAACATTGTCACTGCTGCAATTCTGCCCCGTGTGGCTATAGGCCCGGCACTGGCTTCTTCCAGTACTCCCAGCCTTGCTATTCAAGTGATAATTGGTGTACTGTATCTTTAAAAGGTTAAAACCCCTTTAAAAAAAAAAAAAAAAAAAAACGGTCTGGACTCCTAGTGGAAAAGACAAGCAGGGCATGGGTTGGCTCTGGATTCAGAAAGCAGCTGCTGATTAGATTCTGTGTCTGCGGGTTGAATTTATTCCGTGTTTCCAGCAGGAATTCAAGAGGGATGCTTCTGTTTGGGTTTCTGATCGTGATTTATATTTATTCAGAGGAATAACAGAGGGTGGATCTGTTCCCGGTGCGAGCATGCTCACCACCAGCCGACTCTCCCATTATCCCCCTGCCTAGTTTGGTGCTCCAGTGTACACGAGTATTTCGTGTGCATATGTATGTATACAAACACGCATGCACGCCTGGACGGACAGACGTATGCACAGGTTATTTCTTAAGGACAATTCCTTCAATAAGGTCTCTACCCCTTACTTGAAACAGGTGTTTATGAAAAAAAAATGCACAATATCCCGACTGACCCGGAATAATTGATGAAGAAGGGTGCTGGATCCGTGGGTCAGAGAACACACAGGACCAGCTTGCTACCCAAAGGCCAAAGGTAGGGGACTCTGGGTTTTTATTCCGCGGATGGATTCCTTGCGCCTTATTTTTCCTTGATTGTGTTTTCGCCCGTGGCTGCCACCGGGAAGTGCCACCGCGCTGCGATTCCATTTTGTCGCTGCCTCTCTCACACCAGGTGTCGGGCGGGCTGCGGTGGCGCTGGCAGGGTGGCCACGGTGCGCACGGTGGGCTGCGAGGTGGGCTGCGTGCTCGGCCTGGCTGGGGGAGCGCAAACCTTAAGTGACCCCCGCGCGTCAATCTTTCGCACCGCACCTCCGCTGGGCTGTAACCCTGTGCACGCCGCGCGCCCCCGCGATCGCTCACTGGGCAGCATTGCGCTGCAGACCGTACTCCTGGGCCAGGCAGCTGCTCCAGGATGGGTCAGGCCCCAGAGAGATGTCTGTTGGTGCTTGGTTGAAGGGTGATATTGGTCTGATATTGGGTACCAGGACCGAAGGGAAAAATTTCCTTTCCTGCTTCCAGTCTTGCCACTCTTTGAAAACGATTCCACAGGGGGGGAAAAATCATACCTTGCCAGTCCTCTCCCCAAAACACACCACACCACACCAAACCCAAACACCTACTGAGGTGGGAGGTGGGGGTGGGGTGTGTGAGGTCGGGGAGGGAGGTGTCTTGCCCTGCCTTTTATAAAGCAGATGCCCCTTCCTAGACATGCCCCACATTTCAGCATACTTTAAAATGGAAACACTGCTGATAACAAATGGCCCCTGAGGAGGTGATGGACAACTAGACTGGTGGCTGGGACAGAAGTGGTGGTGTAGAGGAACTTGGAGGTTTGTATGAACTGTCTTGAAGCTGGATCGTTTGGTTTATAGTGCTTGGCAGCGTCAGAACCATTTCTGTGGCTTGGCCTGCCCTTGAACTTTGGGGACAATGGTTGCACAAGAGCCTGATGGCCTGGGAGAGTGGTACTGTGGTCCTCTTTTTGCTTTGCATCTTGAAATTTCTGGCAGCCCTTGGTTTTGCAAGGCAGTGGCCAGGTGACCCCGAGGTATCAGGGATGCTTGGATTTCTTAACCCAGGGTTGCCTTCTGTTGCTGGGGGTGGGGGTGGGGGATACAAGAGAGGAAGCATTTGTTGAACTAACCTCTATACAAGTGTTCTTCAACCCATGTTTATGTGGTTATGTAATCCCAACTAATGTTCAGACCCTGTGCCCAATACAAGTCAGTCCTCCTGCACTAAAGAAGTCGGGTGTTTCTGTTGTTTATGTTTTTATGTAATTATGTGTGTGATGAGGACAAGAAGCACGTGGGGACCAGGAAGAATCATTTGAACAACTTGAGGGTAAAGACCACAGGCAAAGAGCAGGTCTCAGCATTGGGTTGGTGTTTATCTGAGGGCTTCCCTCCGCTTTCTGACCAGGTGCTCCTTGTCTGAACTTTATGTTGTAATCTCACCCTTCTCTGTCCCTAGAGAAGGATATAGCCACCTCTGAGGGGTCCCCAGATTCCTAACTCCAAAGGATGAAAGGGACACCGAGTCTAGGGTGGCCACTCACGTGTCAGCTGTTTCCTCTTGCCTCCAGAGGAAGGGCCAGCTCCAGTGAGGCATCTGTCCCGTTGCCTGTGTCAGTTTTGCTCTGGGCTGGGCTCTCCTGGGGTGGAGAGAGACCCATGTGGGTGGAGTTGTTTGACACCTGCTGCTTGAAGTGGAGACCTGCAGGGGCTGGACGACCTCTCCACCATTGCATTGCAACCTTGGGAGTTTTGCAAGATAGGAGGATAGCTGTCCTGTGGGGAGTTCTGCAGGCAGGAAGGGGGTGTGTGTGTGCTGCCTGAGCTCCCCCCCCCCTCAGCTCTGTAAAGTACCCACAGTGCTCTTAATACAGACCCTCTAGTCATACTCCTTATCCACTCCACCTGGGGCTGGTGGACAGATGTGTTAAATTGGTGGCTAAGTCTGGTCTCTTAAGGTTACAGTTATTTTCTGGTCCTCAATACCCTGGTGCAGGAGTTGGTGGGAGGGGGCTGTTGCTTTAAGGGCTAACTAGTGTGTGCTCTGTGGATCAAGATGTGCTCAACTGGCACCATTGTCAGGATATCTCCGCCCATTGTGTTACAGCCCTGGCCACCCTCCTCAGAGTGGGGAAGTGTATGCTGCTCTTGAACCCCTGCTAAGTGAGCTAGGGAGGCACTTAGTGTGTGAAAGGTGCGGACAAGAGGAGATACATTTAGTCTGAAGTCCTGGCAGATTCCAGGATCCAACTTGATGGAAGATAACGTTAAGAAAGCTGTGTGACAACTAGATAGCTTTCAACTTGTCTCTCTTCCTGCTCAGCAAGTTCCCTGGTGTCTTTCAGGTTTTTTTCCCCTGCCCATCAAGGAGGCCCTGACAGGCTGGTTTTCAGTCTATTACTCCAGGAGGAGTCAGAGCACATTTTACCACTCCATAACTGTACCAGGGAAGGTAGGGCAGGAAACCTAGCTACCTAAGCAAGCAGTTTTGTTCTTCAAAACTGTAAAGCCAGTGGAAGCGTCATAACCGTGAAAAGAAGATGAGATAGGTTAAAAAGTAACATGTGCTCTGCAGCTGGAGGGCACCAGGCTGCTGTTGCAGAGTCTGGACTGTGCAGTCAAGAATGGTAAAGCAGAGAGATGTCACAAGTCTGCAAGTGTGCATTCATCCTGCCTTTTATTAGTGGGAACTTCAGACCCTCTTTCAGGACTCAGCATTTATTTAAGATTCTAAGAGCCTTGCTAAATGCACTTAGCAAATTTGAAGAAACCAATAAGGTTTCATGAAAGGGTTAGGAAAATTGTCTTTAATCAAATATCAGTAAGAACTAATAATAATGCTAGAAACAAGAGACACTAAAAAATACGTTTAAAGGCTATAATTCAAAACATGGACTTCTAAGAGTAGTGAAAGTATGCAAGCAATTCAATGAGATGTTAAATATTTTGTTGCATCTTTTGACCTGTGTATATAAAAATCCATTTAATGGATATTCTTGTGCCCTGTTTAAGAAGGCACATGGGGGCCGGGCGGTGGTGGCGCACGCCTTTAATCCCAGCACTCGGGAGGCAGAGCCAGGCGGATCTCTGTGAGTTCGAGGCCAGCCTGGACTACCAAGTGAGTTCCAGGAAAGGCGCAAAGCTACACAGAGAAACCCTGTCTCGAAAAACCAAAAAAAAAAAAAAAAAAAAAAAAAAAAAAAAAAAAAAAAAAAAAAAAAGAAGGCACATGGATCAGGAGCCCAAACCAACTGTAATTGGAATTTTGTTTGTTTAGCATGGTGTTTAGAGAGAAAAGTGCAGCTATTTAAGAAACTACCCTGCCTCCCAGTGCCTCCTGAAGTTTCTGGATAGCCAGGGGCTTGCTGATCGTAGTACAGCTATAAATCCCTGCTGGGAACTTGGTGATCTTTGGCTGGCATTTAACAGGGCTGTACCATACTTTATTAGAGAAGTTTTGTTTTAACATTTGATAGTACAGAGAATCCTGAGCAAATGATATTGGAACTTTCATGCATCTTCTTGTGGCCAGAGACACACTCCAGGCTTCTAGCCCAGCGACATTATGCTACAGTTGAAAGAGGACTGATGCTAGAATCAGGATAGAGGAGGTGGTTTCTGGTGGCATAGTTTCTTATGCCTTTTTAGGGAGTGCAGGTTGACCACTGCCAGTGTGCTGATCCACCGGAAGATTAGTTCAAGATGTTATGACCACACCCCAGGGTTAGTGGTGTGATTACTCAGTTCAGACATTATGCTCAGAACTGGAAGGATGTCTGACTTACATGAGCAACACAGAGTTTGGCCCAACCCTCTGCCCATTTGCTCAGTTACAACTTTTCTTCAAAACAAAGGCAACAGGAAAAACACAAGTAGAAGAAAAGGAAGGCCCATGCTTTTTGAAAGTTTTTTTTGTTTGTTTTTGTTTTTGTTTTTTTTTTTACAGTTTGGTCCCTCTGTGGAAAATGTGAAGACACACCTGAAGTCAAGGGAACAGTGTTGCTCGAGGTCTGAATGCATACATTTATTGTTTAGATCACTTATCTGAAAGAAAAATGTCCATTTCAGGTTGTTTGAATATCATCAGAAATGTTCAGAGTTATTTCAAGTTTCGGTGTCTTTAAGGGAAGGGGTATTCTTGTAATGGGTTGGAGAGAAGCAGTTCTGTGAAATCCCAAGGGGAGTGGGAAGGCAGAGGAGAGGAGCTGGTGATGTGAAGTGACCGAAGCCCCCTAGCCAGAGGGTGGTCTTTTTGGGTCAGTGTAGAGAACACTTGCTTGGGAGGCAGGATGGTAAGTATGGGCTCTGCAAAATGTAGTAGAACTTAACACATGAGTGAGGGGGCTCCTCCCCTCAGTAAGTGTTGCCGAAAGCCAGGTGACATTGAAACTCTTGTGGACAGAGAGGTAATGCTGAGCTTTACTCCTAGACAGTTGAGGCCATCAAATTTAAAGAGTGAAGCAGGGAGAAGTACAGGGACCTTGAGATCTCTCTGAGCATCTGTGGCCCTTGTAATGGGAGTTCAGGGTCAACCTGGAAAAGAAATCCAAAGAAAAGCCAGTGAAAGTATAATGGGAACAATAAACGAAGGCAGCATATAAAGTAAATTCATGAATGAGGGGCTCTGGAGACAGCTCAGTTGGTAAAGTGTTTGCCTTGCAAGCATGAGGATCTGAGTTCAATCCCCAGATGTGGTTAAAAAACAAAGCCAGGCAGGCATGGTGGTAAGGGACTTATAATCTCAGTGCTGGGGAGGCGGAGACAAGGGATCCCTTGTGATCACTGGCCAGCCAGCCTAGGCTACACAGCGAGTTCCAGGCCAGGTACCTAAGAATGACAATGGCACCTGAGGTTGACCTCTGACCTCTAGATGCATTCTGCATACATATACATGCACACATACACATGAACTTGAACACATATACACGCACATGCACAAGTACACGTATTAAAAATGACGTGACATACCTGGTAAGTAATTTCAGTCTCTTCAGTCATTGGCTGGATTTCCAGGCCCAAC